AGGCGGCACTGTGCTGCCTGCGCTGCAGCTCGCCCCCGCCAAACCACAGCCTCAGGCTCATATCTGCGCTCTGCATCGTAAACACCTTCAGCTGTGGTTTCGTGTGTTTGGTGCCACTGGTGGGAATCTGATGAGCCACCTGCCTACACTGGCTCTGTGGTTCTGGATCCTGGTGGGTTCAAGATACCGGGAGCTGCCGCGGCGCTCACCTGCATGAGTACTGCACACACTACATGCTGCATATACAAAATGTACAATAGCAAACGATGCCAGAGAATTAGTAATACCACTGTGAAGTACTGCTGATAAAGTACTTAAAGTAGCAGAAGTTACACACTTTCAGAAGGTGGATATTTTTTAATCTGAGCAGCGATGGGAGAGGAACTCAGGGCCTCTACTGCAGTAACAGTATCAGTGCCCACTGAGAGGTGCTTCAGGAGCCTCTGGACCAAAACCAGGAGACTCAGGAACAGCTTCTTCTCCACAGCTGTGTCCTTAATGAACCCTGTCCCCCGTTGACTCCACACCTCACCCCTTCTCACCTCAGCTCTCCTCCCAGGACTAATGCAGTACCACACTGAAGTGATCAGTATTCTGTTATTCTCAGAATACTGCTGTCATTCATTTGCTGATACTGTATATTTTTATCTTTATATTATTTACATCCATTGAACTGTTCACTCATGGAATTTATATTATTCTGCACTGTTTCATTCCATCTCATCCCATTGCACTAGTGTTCCATAAGCTTCATGTACCTTGTCCATTACTGTGAATAAGCTTAATGTACCTTGTCCATTACTGTGAACTGAATCCATAGTGTGTTGTACATCGTACATCACCCTTCATATCTTACTGTAACTATATATTGTACATATCCATCAGTAAATGAGTACTGACTGTACTGACTGTAGATACTCACACTCTGCACTTCTGGTTAGAAGCTAAACTGTATTTCATTGCCTTGTACTTGTACACGTGTAATGACAAAGTAGAATCTGATCTAACAGATGTTTGGATGTAGAACTGCAGCCACTGCAGATGAATGTAGTGGGAGTCCAGCTACTGCCTTACTGTGTCAGTGGACCTGCCTCCACGTCAGCGCGGGGCAGCTGCTCCCTGCTCAGGATGTCCTTCCCATGCCTTCATACCTGTAGAGATCTATTTATGTCTGCCATCTTTACACCTATACTCACACCATGAAACCACATTGTAAAATCTCATGGTGCAGAATTTCAGTGAAGCCACACCAAACCCAGCGAGCCTTTGAAGCGCGGGCTCCAGCAGCCACATGAATGTCTCCGGTGTATGAACTCTGCTTCCTGCTGCTCCTCACTGATTGTGACAGTCAGACCCTGGCAGCAGCTTCGACACAGCGAATTTCTGTAGAAAGGTGTTGCATGTCGTGCAGAGGTGAGTGTTAGACTTGTTCAGAAATGACTCGTCACCACATCCTCTTCCTTCACTCAGTTTGTGTTCTTCCTTCACCAGCACAAGCAGCAGCTCCAGGCTGAGCTGCAGCCCGAGCATGCTGCAGCTCAGGGTCACTGACCACATGTTGACGTGCACTGCTGCAGCTTTCATTTCAGCTTCAGGGGACTCATGTCTGGTGCATGGCAGCTTTTTGGTGGCCTTGTGATCCTGGTGCCTCTCAAACCAAGAGCTAACTGATGGTTACACGTCAGCAGAGAGGAACACAACTGAGCTGCGTGCACACGTGGCTGTGCAGCAGTAACACTTTATAATAACCCTAACCCTTCAGCCATGTTTAACTAAGGCCTGACTCAGGCCTCCTCCAGCTCGGCAGTGACAGATGGCTGTCTGTGACCGCTTCCTCCCTACAGTAATAGATTACCAGGGAAGGTACGACCTGATCACAGAAAGCCACACTGACCAGATCTTTGATGAGTGAATGACTTGACCTGCTCAGCTACTGGACTTGTACTTTCCTATTTGTTCACAGGTCAGGTCAGCCTGTTCCTCTGTGCACAGTCTCATGCATCTAATGAAAACAGTCAAATGAATCTGACTTTGTGTTCATTTAGTAAAAAAAAACAAAATGTGCATATAACCAAACCGACATGCCGAGAACCCGGAGCTCAGTGATCCAGCCTTGAACTCTAGCTAGTACTGATCAGCATAACTTTTACTTTGATACTTTACTACAGGTACACGTTGCTGACAACAGTTGGACACACTTCTACTGTTTCTTGTGTGAAGGATCACAGCTGAGCTTCGAAGGAAAAGCTTGTCTGTGCTCAGGACTTGAAGGATAATTCTGGTGTTTTTTTTCTATATTTGGGTTCTTTTCTGATTGTGTGTGTGTGTGTGTGTGTTAGTCCATGACCTCCCTCCTCTGTCTGAACATCAGTCGTTTCATGTAGCTGCTCACCAAAGTTTTTAATCAAACAGGAGGAAACGGTGCATTCGTTGAGGACTATTCTCAGTGGCGGATGAATCCACATCAACAGTGTGGTCACCAGTGGGTTCAGCTCTGTGGCACAGAGGAGCCAATCACAACGCGTGTGTGTTTGAAGCGGAGATGTGTGAGTGCCACCTGAGCGACAGGTAAACCACAGCTGCTGCTCCCCACAGCTGGTGCAACTGACACCGAGCTGTTGTGGGAATCGCGTCCCCGCCACGTTCACAGAGCGTCTCTGGTCAAAGCTGCAGGGAGCCAGGACAGTCTGTTGGGGTGTGTGTGTGTGTGTGTGTGTGTCCGCTACATGTTTACACACGTCGCAACAAGTCTGGTTCTCTGCAGCAGGCGATTCCGTCCAGTTGTTCTTTCAGGAGACACTGAAACATCATTATTACTGATGCGTTCACGTGTATCGACACTTTAATGGTCATTTTGACTACTGTATAAACTGGTGTGTATTTTGACCAGTAAGTAACCAGTAAACACAGCAGCGTCGTGAGGTCAAACGTCACTTCACACAGAATCACAGACAGTAATATCTAAGGTGAAGCAGCAGCAGGGACCACAGGGTCTGACGATACGTTTACAGGACACCTGACAGCTTCTCCTTGATGTGAGACTCACTTCTGTGACACCTGCCGCCAGGTGTGCGCACGGCTCACTGAGCCTCTGCCATGTGACCGCCCTGTCAGTAACACATCTCTCTGGTTGGTGCACAGCGGTCACCGTTCACTCAACAGCTAGTTCCACACATCTGAAACCAACTAGCATTTACTGGAGTTTCCAGTCCAGCACGAACCTGGTCTGGTTCAGACTTCACAGCAAAACGTTACGTGTTGTGGCATTAGGCACATCCAGCTGCAGACAGATGCCAGAGAGAGCGGTGCCTTTAGACACATTTCAGTAGCACTAAGTATAAAGTCCTGACTAAGAGACTTCCCAGATGTTTCAAAGCATTTTGTAATGAACCTCTGCACAGAGTCGGACTTGGGACTTCATCTTTATTACAGTTACACTTCATACAAAGCTGTGGACAAACGGGTTGTAGACTGAGATATATAGAGTTCTCTACAAGTACAAGTGGTTCTCAGACTCGGCGTTACCACCGTCCTCCAGCGGGACGCGTCTCACGGTGAGGACACAGTCAGATCCGGTGCAGACCACGTGCAGCGGGGCCTTCCGGCTGGGATGTGATGTCTCATGTGATTAGTCCATGTACAAATCACACAGAGCAGAAGGTGTGACCGTCACAAGCTTCACCACAGATAACGTGCACAGTTTTAACTCCACGGTGCACAAAAGACGCTCCGTGCATGTCCAGTGATTCACAGCAGAGACAAACAGTGAACAGACTAGAGCAGCACAAGCAGAGACACGCTTACGATTCATATGTACATGCGTGGCCATCATGCGCACGCGTTGCTACCTGCTCGCTCTCTGACAACGCACCTTTTCACCGGTCATACCCGAACCTCCTCCTTCAGGTCACGGAAGCAACACCGGTCATACCCGAACCTCCTCCTTCGGGTCATGGAAGCGTGGAGAGAGACGAGACAGCTGTGACAGGAGTGACTCACCGCGCACT